CAATTATTGCATTCTTTTGATTTACCATATTTATAAGTTGCATTATCTAATTCGAAATGATAAATAAACCTTTCTCTACAATATTCCTTTTCATTTTCTAATAGTTTTTGGTTTTCAATGACTAATTGTAAAAAATAACTTTTTCTATTTTCATTGTTGGAAACAGTTGGAAAAGCAGAATAAGCAATATCATTCATTTCATTCTGAATTTTAAGTACTAGTTCTCTTCTGTCTTGTGTTAATAACTTTTCGAAGGACATTTTAATTTTTTTAATATTTGTTTTTAATGTATTTTACACTGTATTTCTTTTTTGTAAATCTTAGCCTCAATAAGAATCTAATTTTTTTTTTGTTTTTCTTCAACATATTAATATTATAAATGCTTAATTGTTCTCTTGTATGCAGTATCTCACATACAGTAAAAACATTGAATATAGTATAAATGAGTGTGCTAGACTGGCGCAAAAACAAAAAGTAATCCAATTACAAATTTCATAACCAACAAAATCTTTTAAGACTCTTTGATGTCGTTTTTCTTTGTTTCATTTAAAATGTTTGATTGGAATTCAAAACTTTATCCCTAAATAATAATAACCAAATTCAAAGTCCTAGATGGACTTACCTCAATTGTTATTGAACTCCTGATTCTTTTCAACTGTTATTCTTTGTCAAATATTTCATGACTTTATATTTTCACTTACCACTCCATAAATACTGACTATTTTTTTAATTTTCCGAAAACAGTTGAAAATTTATTTATGTAAAATTCTTCTAAGACTGCCAGGACTGTTTATACCATGTTCCATTAATGTCTTGCCAATTATCAGGAAATAGAGATGAATTCCACATTTTTGATGCCACAACAAACATTTGAAATTCACATTTGAACAGTTGTGGAAAATCAGAACGGAAGAGTAGACCAGAAACTAAATATGGGTTGCAATTTGTAATCAAGCCTCACTCTGCAGTTCCTTGTCACAGTATGTAGGATGTCCCAAGATGCTGTTGACAAAAACAGAGTACGACGACAGAAATGTTCATTTAACATGCTGAGAGACAAGTATTTGTGAGTGGAATTCTAACACTGCCTCAATTATAGCACCGTTGCTTAAGGTATACTGGGAGCAACTAAAGCAGCAGCTAAACCAACAATGGTCATCAAATTATGGATGGAATTAAAGAGAATTTTGATTGATCAGATTATCACCAAATGGTTACAGTTGTTAGCTAATTGATTTATTATTATTAATATTAAGAGTAAATTAATCAGTGCACATTCAAAAACGACCCACCACAACTTATTTTATCACGATTAATAAATATTTTGTTGTGAAACAAAGAATATGAAAACAGTTGTAAGAGATTAGTGACAATGAAAGCATATTTTTTGATACATTAACTAAAGAGTACTGGTTATCTCCATTCTTTTGCCAGGACCAAAAGCTGGACACAATGTTGTGAATAATGCGATTTTCTTGAAAATAAGTAATTATAATTAGGAAAACCATGTATACTTATATTGACCTGGTTTATTTCCTTCAATTGGGTAATTTGTCCATGGCTAGGCAACATTATGTAACCACTTACCTAAAGCTGAAAATCCACAATCTATCATTTAGATACCTCGCCTAAAGAGGTGCAAGAAATACTTCAACAGAAATTACAATGGAATTTTTCAAATACTCATTTTTTTTCTTGTAGCTGTCAAATCAGGAGGAGAATGAACATTGGAGAACAGAGATGATGACAATGATGACATTGAGTTATTGATAAAAATAGCTGGGTGGCAATTATTGACATACATATATAACCTAATTGTATTGGCAGATTTGGAATGTTTAAAAAAATACATATAAAAGAAAAGTTTGATTTAGAATATAATACTGCTTTTTTATATTTTTGACCCGCAATATCCCATTCTGGTTTTTTAAACCAATTTTTCTCTGTTCTAATTTATTAAATTTTTGCAAATCTCTTCATGAGAACTTACCTTTGGATAAAAATCAATTGCCTCGCAAATTTTATTATCTTCTATTTGTAATAAAAAAATTAATTGACTTGTGAATTTTACTATCTTCTATTTGTAATAAAATTAATATTAACATAGAAATATTAAACCACTTCAAAATAAAAGGTTTTATTATGTTATTTCATATTTAACATTTGATTTTGAGATTATTTTGATTTTTGACATCAGGAAAATTATGTATTATATTAATTATTCAATTATAAAACATGTGATTCTGAATTGGAGAGAAATTAATCAAATTTTTTAAAATAAATAAATTAAATTAATAATTAATTAATAAATGGTAATTATCTACCCATCAACAATTTACCTAATTCTCCAACTTTAATTTAACCCTTATCAACTACTTATTATTATTATTACCATTACAATTATAATTATTTATAAATAATCATATTAAATTCAAAATTATATTTCATTAATATCAAGGTCACTTAATAAACTATCATTGCTTTTTAAGTTCAATTTGGCAAATTCATCATTTAATATTCGACTTGTATGATATGCTAATGGATGTGATTTGTGAATTTGTTGCAAGTTACTATTATTATCACCACCATCACCATCACTGCTAGTTTCATTAACATTTTTTGTTTCATAAATTTTCTTTGTTTTATTACGAGCAAATTCCCAAAGCTCATCAATAGTTGGTCTCTTGGTTGGATCCATATCCCAACACCTTTGCATCATCCATGCATAATCATCAGGCATTTGTGATAATATTGGTGGACGTAAACCTTCACATATTCTTAATTGCAAATGAAAATCATGTGCCTCATCATCAAATGGTGGATGACCTGCAAATATTTCCCACATTAACATCCCAATGCTATAGATATCAGTTTCTTTGGTATTATTTGCATTCTTTTTGCCTCCAAGTAGCTCAGGTGCAACATATGATACAATTCCATAGACTTTATTTGATGACTTTTCATCAACTGGTCCACATAACCCTAAATCTGTAATATAACAACTACCTCCTTGCAATAATATATTACCACTATGTAAATCACAATGGATTAAATCTTTTTTATGTATATCATTTAATGCATTACATAAAAGCCTAAAGATTGCAATTCTGTCTTTTAATCTTAAATTTGAATGATTTTTTTGTAAATAATCTCTTAAATTTCCTTCTGAAACATAAGGCAAAATCATTGTATAATTTCCATTTTCTGGGAATTTAGTCACACCATGACATTGAATAATTGAGTTTGATTTAATTTTACAATAATTCAATGCCTGAAATTATATAAATAAATCAATTAATTTAAAATAAATGGTTCAAATTTATTTTAAATAAAAACAATTACCTCATCAAAAAAAGGTTTTCCTGGAATACTTGAATTATTTAATGATTTTAGTACTACATACTGAGCTCCAAGATAATTAAACTCTTTTTTACTTTCATCATAATCAATTATTCTTCCTCTTGTCCACACAGCAATATAAATAGAACTGAATCCACCTTCTGTTAACTTTTCTACATTATAAAATTGCTCATAAGGTATCCATTCTATAATTTGCATTGGAAGAGATGAAAGCTGGTGACATTTTTGAACAAAACCATCAATTATCTCATTTCCAGATGTCCAAGTACTGAAAAGGCTCTGCAAGTGTAGACTAATACACTTTTCACAAAATTTATCAGAATATCTTGTTGTCTTACAATTATTGCATTCTTTTGATTTACCATATTTATAAGTTGCATTATCTAATTCGAAATGATAAATAAACCTTTCTCTGCAAAATTCCTTTTCATTTTCCAATAGTTTTTGGTTTTCACCGACTAATTGTAAAAAATAACTTTTTCTATTTTCTCTGTCAGAATTAGAATTAGTTGGAAAAGCAGAATAAGCAATACTATTTATTTCATTATGAATTTTAACTACTAATTCTCTTCTGTCTTGTGTTAATAACTTTTCGAAGGACATTTTAACTTTTTTAATATTTGTTTTTAATGATTTTGTATTTTACACTGTATTTCTTTTTTGTAAATCTTAGCCTCAATAAGAATCTGATTTTTTGTTTTCTTCAACATATTAATATTATAAATGCTTAATGGTTCTCTTGTATGCAGTATCTCACCTACAGTAAAAGCATTGAATATAGTATAAATGAGTGTGCTAGACTAGCATAAAAACAAAAAGTAATCCAAATACAAATTTAATAACCAACAAATCTTTTACAGACTCTTTGACGCTGTTTTTCCTTGTTTCATTTAAAATGTTTGATTGAATTCAGTTAAAACTTTATCCCTTGATTTCAAAAAATAATAATAACCAAATTCAAAGCCCTAGATAGACTATTGAACTCCAGATTCTTTTCAATTATTGTTCTTTGTCAAGTATTTCATGACATATTTTCACTTACCACTCCATAAATACTGACTATTTTTTTAATTTTCTGAAAACAGTTGAAAATTTATTTATGTAAAATTCTTCTAAGACTGCCAGGACTGTTTATACCATATTCCATCAAGGCCTTGCTAATTATCAGGAAATAGAGATGAATTCCATATTTTTGATGTCACAACGAATATTTGAAATTCACATTTGAACGGTTGTGGAAAATCAGAACGGAAGAGTTGACCAGAAACTAAATATGGGTTGCAATTTGTAATCAAGCCTCACTCTGCAGTTCCTTGTCACAGTATGTAGGGTGTCTCAAGATGCTGTTGACAAAAACAGAGTATGACGACAGAAATGTTCATTTAACATGCTGAGAGACAAGTATTTATGAGTAGAATGTTAACACCGCCTCGATTATAGCACCGTTGCTTAAGGTATACTGGGAGCAACTAAAGCAGCAGCTAACCAATAATGGTCGTCAAATTATGGATGGAATTAAAGAGAATTTTGATTGATCAAATTATCACCAAATGGTTTTGATTGTTAGTTAATTGATTTATTATTATTAAGAGAAATTAATCAGTGCACTATGTTGCTCTTCAAAAACGATTCTATAGTATAATGATAATAACTATTGTATATCTATGATCTTTAATATATTTGAGAAATAACAATCAGGGACAGTAATAAAGTAATATATATCTTTTTTCCAAGACGTGTAGTGCAATAGCACAAAAACACTTTCATGTTTTACATAGATCTGCTGATTCTGTAAAAAATATGTGGCTTTTTGTCACTTACAGTAAAAAGTTATGAATGCAAATGATGCTTATATATTTTCTTTAAATGAGCTCAATTCACACAAATGCAAAGATCTAAAACAAAAGTAGAGTGATGGGTTATTCGAGTCGGGTTAGAAAAATCACGTAGAATGAGAAGTTGTAAAAAAATAAATGTAAGTATTATTGCATTTGAAGGCTAATAACTTATAAATTGGATGATAATTTATTGGCTCTTTAGTTTCATGATCAAAATGTATTCAACGCAACAATTCAATATTAATAATCCTTGTAGGTGAATATGGATATGGGCCTTTTAATAACGAAATTAATTATGTTGGTTATGAAAAAAAAAACAGCTATAATTAAATAAGAAAATATTTGTATTTAGCTTTTGACTTTTTCTTGGTAGCCAATTTTTAGAGAATCTTTCGTTATTCTTTTTTTATGAGTTTCCAATAGGTAACCGCTGATATTCAAAGGTTTAAGTGGCAAAAGAGAAAATTTTTTGTAAATGTGTTCATTTAGAAATATATAATTACAATAAATACATCTTTTGTTTATTATCAATTAGGAAATGACTTTACATTGCAAATTCCATTTTTATATTACAGCGCTAAATTATATTTATTATAAAGAACACGTACCATCTTTTATTAAAAACCTCTCGTGTAGCCCGAAATACACGTAATTTTGAAATGATTACGAATGTTTACAAATGTTAGATTTATGCATTTTAGTTAGGAACACATGTATGTGATTTAGGAGCACGGACCATCCGCCTCCTTGAATATCTTTTAACACATACAACACATATATTAATATCCTTATTTGGTTTTTTTTGTTGTAGCCAAAAAAAAAAGGGGTTTCCATTTATAAGTTGAACGTGTATTTAAACACAACTCTAGGATCATTATTTTCATACCAAAATTTGTAGGATTATGCCACGACTGTTATCCTCATAATAGTCCTTTAAATCATTTGCAATTATTAATTTATACTATCTTTCTCATATGTTTTCAAAGAAAGTGACTTTTCTTCATATATTATATCAAATAAATAATAAAGATAGCAAGTAATATGTACGTATGCATGAAAAAAAAAACAATATAACGGACAAAGGAAAGTGAATGAGCGATAGGAATAGAAAGGATAAAGAATGTGTTAATTGTGTGAAGCTAATAATGGTACTTACCCTCATCAACTAGATAATGAAAACAAGAATTCCAAAATGAATAACAACTTATATATGATAGAAGAAAGTGCGGTTTTAAAAAAAAAAGAATTGAAATTGAAGAGAAAAAAGTACAAGTTAGTCAGCGTCATAAACAGTATACACTTAAACATAATATTCTCTGCTCTGATAACTTTTAAAATTGACTACTATCCTCGCAAAATGTGTGTGGATAAGGCCCCGAAAATTATTATAGATGGGTTACTGCCGCAACTCAGATAATATTTATGAAAAATCACCAACTTTGGAAGGATTTTCAATCACTATTGCTATATAGTAATAGTAACTACGTTCTTTCCCGATCTGGAAAATGTTTTGATTTTTGACTCGTCTAATTTAAGCAAACAATAAAGTTTTTTTAAGTGATTGTCCGGGATTCCCAAAAAAAATTTTTTGAATTATGGATCTGCAAATTATTTTATTCTACTGCTCTTTTGAAGGTAAGGAGGTTTATATGATGAATTTTTGTTCCTTTAATAATTCCTCTTTTTGCCAAGTATGAATTTTGATTTTCCCTTTCTGCTATACTTTCTTCGTCTTAATGGTGACAACGACATCGTTTGCTTTTTTTGTATTAATTTGATTTTGCATATAGTCTAATAATAATGAACCCTAGTTTTCATGGTGACCTCCGAATATGAGATATCACGCATTAATATTAATATATATTATTTACATATGAGGGGTTTTTAAATAGAAAGGGTCATAATGCAAAAATGCCACCACTATATACAACTTTTCGTTTAGGATATGTTTGGATTAGAAAGCATACCCATTTTGCATAATAAAATTTTGAGATACCTTTCTTTGAAACCAATAATAAAATTCCTTGAAATGCAGATCTTATTTTAAAAATCTATTTTTACAAAGTTCTTTTATTCCGGGGTCACATTCTTGTTTATTCGGCCTTTTGGAAATGTTCAGGAAGATCACACAACAAATTTGCCACAAATAAATAGATATATATGTTCTAATTCGAATCAATTAATACTATTATACTATCATAAAACCTTCAACTTTAATTTTTTATTCAATTAATATAAATACTAACGGTAAAATATTTTTTGTGTAAAATAAAAATTTCAACTTTAACTCTACATTTTTTAATAATTAATTGAAAAAACAAACAAAATAAAAATTAATAAGCTAATTAATTAAATTAAAATGAAAGAAACTAAATATCAACAACCTAAACAACAAAGACAACGACAAAAATATTATTCTGAAAAATCTAATAAACATTATAATAATAGTAACAATAGTAATAATATTAGTAATAATATTAGTAGTAGTAGTAATAATAATAATAATAATAATAATAATAATAATACTCCTTCTAATAATAAACGCCGTAATAATCACCATAACAATCATGGCATTGATCATAATAAAATAGTCGAAATAGTTGAAATAGTTGAAATAGCAGAATTCACAGATGACACGTTCGAGGAATTCCTTTTAAATAATAATAGCATCACTACTTTTAAAGAATTAAGACTTTATGAAAATCAAATAAAGAGATTTTTCAACCATCATAGACAATTAAAGGATGAAAACCAATTATTAACGGAAGAAAATTTGGTTTTGGTTGACACAAATATTAAATTGGAATTGGAAGTTAGTAAACTTAAAAACGAAATTAATGAGCTCGAAGATAATAAATTTCAATTAGTGCAAGATATCTACAACAATATTAAAAATAAACATAACGACAACCTAATGCTGATAAAAGAACAAACTGAATCAGAAGCAATCGACAAATCAATCATCAAAGACATCAATTCGTTACATTGTAAGATTGCAAAATTCGTGACTTCTTTAAAGCAAGAAGACATGGTTTCGGTTCAACTTAAGGAAGTGCAAAAACTTTTATCCGAATATGGATCTGAGACTAAGATTTATTCATTAAATGACTTACCTATCATGAGCGCAATTTTACAAAGATCGGTGTTTGATCATGTTAACACATTCATTCTTGATTACTTCAATAATAGTCATGTCGATGATGATCAAGATGATCATAATCATGATATAGATGAGATAAAATTTGATGATTTTAACATAAATTTAGAATTGGAAGTTAACAATAAAGCCAAATCATTGCTAAATTCGCTCGATTTATTAGCTAAATCAAGATATGGTTACAAGCATAATAGTGCAAGAAAAGACAATGAACCTATTGATGATGAAGAATGGTTGAAGGATGAGAGAAACTTACATTTAAATATTAACAAGATTCTAAATAAGGTTGGATTTAATTACCTTTACAATAGAAATAATATTAATAATAATAACGACGACGATTCTTCTTCATATTATCCTTTCCACAATTATTCTGCTTCATCTTATATCGAACATCCATTCATCAAAGATTGTCAGCAATCGTTAATCAATCATATTTTGAAATATAGAAAGATTAATGATCCTTTAAAACAGTTAGAGTTTAACAATTTATCAAAAGAAATAGTTTACGACTTCATTAGGCTAATATATTTTAATCCAAAGGAAAAAATCGAATTCATTTGGATCCCAAATAATTTTCATTTGGATTTGAGATTAATGAAAATTTTAAATAATAATTATAATTTGGACAATGATGACGACATTACATTTGACAATTATTTGGTTGATTTTTGTAGTTTTCCTTTATTTGGCAAAAACTTATACGATTATTCAAATGACAATAAATATTACACTTTGGCACAAATTTATCCAAAGAAAAAACATTGATCAAATTTTTTTATTTGTGTAGATTTTTATTTATTTTTTTAGATGTTTTTTTAGATTTGTAAAAATACTTTTTTCATTTACAATAAACATTTTATTGATTATTTCTATTTATATTATATTATATCACGTTACACGTAAATTTCATTGTAAATATTTATATATATATATATATATATATATTAATATCTTGTTTCCCATTCAACTTGTAAAAAAAAAAAAAAATGGATATAACAACCACATTACCAATTAATCCCACCACCATCGCTACCGATACAGCTTCTACTTCCACATCTAACAATGCTACCACAGCAACCTCTTCTACAAACGGAAAATTTCCCTCGGTGGAAGGACGCGATCCTGCTTATTTTTCATACTATGCCATGCTCCAGCATCAGGTGGTTTACAAGCACTCAAGAACCTCTTTTATAGTTGCAACAAGTCAATCATAATAATATAATAATAATTAAAAAAGAATTATTATATAAAATTGATGTTAATATTAAAATCCCCCCCATTCCTGGTCTACTTTGTTGTTAAATAGTGAGTTTTTTATTTTAATAATAATAATAAATAAATAAAAAATAAATATAATATATCACAGCAAAACATGCTTCAAGATACTGTACGTACTTCGACTTACCGTTCAGCCATATTGATAAATGGTCCAGCGTGCTTTCAAAATAAATTGATTTTGGACGTTGGTGCTGGTAAATTATCATTCATTATTTATATATTTATTTATATAATATATATATATTTATGATTATTTATTAATAAAATGTGACTTTTTTTTTTTAATAACAATGATAAAATAATAGGATCGGGGATTCTATCGTATTTTGCGGTTCAAGCAGGCGCAAGCAAGGTCTATGCTATAGAAGCTTCTCAAATGGCCGAAAAAATGAAGAAAATTATCGATGTTGCAAATTCTTCTGATTTGAATTCCTTGGGTAAAAATTCATTTTTGAAAAATAAAGTTGAAGTGATTCAAGGTTTGTATATCATGATGATGATAACATAATTATAATAGTTGTTGATATTTTTTATTAAAAATAATACACATATATATGTATGTATGTATGTATGCATGTATGCTAATAGCAAAAATCGAAGACTCAAATTTACAAATTCCACAAGTTGACACCATAATTTCTGAACCAATTGGTGTTTTATTAATACATGAAAGAATGGTAAGACGGTGATGGTTAAATGACGAGTGTTAAACTTTCAAAACAATATAAATTTATTATTAATGCTATTTATTTCATTATATATATATATATATATATAAAGTTGGAAAGTTATTTGTATGCAAGAGATCATTATTTGAAACCTGGCGGTTCTTTATTCCCATCAAGTGGCACAATCCATTTGGCACCTTTTACCGATGCTGCTTTGTGGAGCGAAACAATGGGAAAAGCTAGATTTTGGGAACAACAATCATTCTATGGTGTAGACCTTTCCTCGTTATACTCGGATGCAAAAGATGAAATGTTTGGTAAGAAATTAGCTTTTATTATTTTTATCATTTATATTTTATGCTGCCGTTACCACTATTACTAATAACAACAACAACAACAAAAAAAAAACCACAAAAGGCATGCCCGTTGTTGGTTGTTTCGATCCACGTACTTTGATCGCACAACCTACTCCTTGTGGATTTCCCATCGATTTCTATACGGTAACGTTGGAAGAACTTCAAGATTTAACAATACCTTTTTACTGGCAAGCATCCTACACCGGTATCATTCATGGGATAGCAGGATGGTTTGATTTGTATTTTACTCCGCCACCATTCGTCATTCCACAAAGCGGTCAAATATTCATGTCCACCAGTCCAACATCAGAGCGCACTCATTGGCAACAAGTCAGATTCTTGTTGAAAGAACCATTGGCTGTCAATGCTGGTCAGACCATTCAAGGTTGGATGAGATGTGTGGTCAATGACATGCGTTCTTATACTATAGAAATTGAAATTTTAGCTGGTGATGGCGGTGTTGGTCAACAACAGCAACAACAACAACTATTATCTAATCCAAAACTACCTCCTTCTCCATCATTAAAAATGGACTATAATCGTAGACGGGGTAAATGGAGATTGCATGAGCAAACTTACAACTATACTTATTTTCCCCAACAAGCTGATTCCTCTCTTTTTAAACCGGAATATAATTGTCTTTATGAAATTGACCATCAACAGCCACCGTTGCCACCACCACTACCACCACCACAACAGTTGTTGTCATCAGATTTAGACGTTACTGTGTTGGTAGGTGATAACACTGCTGCTACTATTAATACTTCTACTGCCGGCAATACTAACAATAATAATGATGTCGAAGGTAATAATAATTTTGTAGATGGTAGTTTTATTATTTAAAATTCTTTTTTCATAGACTATTTATTTTATTGTCATCTTTATATTCTACCTTTTTTTATATTCTATTTTATTATTATTATTACTATATTCTTATTTTTTTATTTTTACGTCTTCATATTCTATTTTGTATTATTTATAAAAACAATTTTTATATTTATAGCAAAGTAAAATAAAATAAAAATAAAATTTTATAGCAAAAAAAAATTATTATATATATTATAATGCAAGCGATTAATTACAATCAATAATCCTAATAACTCGACAGTTTACAAATGGTTTTTTATATTTTTTTAAATTGATAAAACTAATCTAGGTGAAATATTCATTGCCATTAATTCTTGAAATAACATTTTACATGCATATGGTATATGAACTTGCGACACCTAAAAATATAGTCAAATAAAACCAGTTTAGTTTGTTATATTAATTATATTTAAAAAAATGATGATGAAATGATGAAATACTAACCATTGTAGTGTTCTTACAAATTTTACATTCATGTGTATTTTTTTTGATTCTTGCAATTGCCATCAATCCGCAAATGTCACATACAAATATTCTAAATGTATCAGATACATCAAACAATCGTTCCTAAATCATGACAATAAGATGTTTTCACATGTAGTAATAAATAAGTAAATAGATAAATAAATAAATAAATATATATTACATACATCATACATATATATAACAAAACAAAACAAAAAACCAAAGAAACCTTTAGAAACCCTGCAGTGCCATGAGAAATCATACAATCCCTCTCCATCTCACCAAATCTTAATCCACCATCACGCCCTCGTCCTTCAACCGGTTGTCTAGTTAGTATATTAATAGGCCCACGTGCTCGAGAATGTATTTTATCTTGTACCATATGCTTTAATCTCTGATAATACGTTGGTCCGATAAATACTGAAGCTTGCAATTTTTGTCCAGTGTATCCATTATACAACACTTCGTATCCTCGTTTTTGATAACCGTGTCCTTCAAGTTGTAATGATATTTGTTCAACTGTTAAATTGGTAAAGGGTGTTGCGTCTCCCTCAACACTTGACAACGCGCTAAGCTTGCCCAACAAACATTCAATCAAATGACCAATTGTCATTCTGCTTGGTATAGCATGTGGATTTATAATGATGTCGGGTGTAATACCTTCCGTTGTAAAAGGCATGTCTTCTTGTCTATAAATCATCCCAATAACACCTTTTTGTCCATGTCGACTAGCAAATTTGTCGCCTAGTTCTGGAATCCGCGTATTTCTAACTCTGATTTTAACTAGTTTTGACCCTTCTTGGTTAGTTGTAAGCATGACTTGATCAACAATACCCGACTCGTTTGATCTTAACGGTGTCGAGATATCTTTGTATTGGTGCATTGGAGTTCTTTGTCCTAACACGGTATTATCAGCTACCAACGGAATCACCTTGCCTATAATCACATCGTTGACACTTACAGGCCACCCAGGTGATACCAATCCATCCTCGTCCAACTTTTCATAGTTGCCATGTTTAAAACTTATTGTGGTGTCAGGATTTGGTTTGGTAAACATTTCAACGTTTAAAACACCTTTCTCCTTTTCCTGATCACTAAAACTTCTATAACTAAAGCTCCTGAACATCCCTTTATCAATACTACTTTGATTAAAAATAATCGAATCTTCCTGGTTGTAACCCCCGTATGATAATATGGCGACTATGGCATTTTGTCCTGCTGGCAATTCATGGAATTTCATTATTTGCATAACTTTTGTTGTAACAAGAGGTTTTTGAGGATAATATAATATATTTCCTAGCACGTCCATTCTGAATTGGAAGTTTGTTGCATAAACACCCATTGCTTGTTTGGTCATTGCTGATTGATATGTATTACGTGGTGACTATAAAATTGAAATTAAATAAACCAATGAGTAAAATAAAGCAACGCATATACACATATCTATTAACATCTAGTTAATTTATCATTTACCTGGTTATGATCGGGAAAAGGTATAAGGTTTGCACAAATTCCCAAAATCATACTAGGATGAATTTCACAATGAGTCCATTTACTACTGTACTTTGGTAAAATTTTTAACCTCTCGTCTATTTTGTTTTCTTTTTTCGGTAATAGCATATTATTAAGCTTATAAACATAATAGTTTCTTGAACCTTTTAGATCTTCTGGTGTCATACATATCAATGATCTTTCCTCCTCTTCTGCATCAAGATACTCAATTAAATGTCTCGTCACTAGTCCTTCGAATGTTGATGGTTCATCATAAACGTTCGAATTATTTGACACCTTTTAATTATTATTATTAAATTTTATATATATATTATAACGTCATGGTTATAATAATAACAACAATAAAAAAAGGTAACAATAGCTTACACTTCTTTCCAATCTTTTAACGTCATCATGTGTTATAAGTAATCTGCTATCTTTTACAACAAACAAAGGTCTACAAACTCTACCAGGATCAGTACATATTCTCAACTCCCTATCACGGTAATCATGAACTATGCTTATATCAGGTGAAAATTCACTCCCTCTAACAAATTTCAATGAATTTTCAATTTCAGTTGGATAAAGTGACACTCCAACCCAATTACCATCAACAAAAACTTTTGTGTAATCTTTCATAGTATTTAAACCATCAAGTTCATCAGTACGTGTAATTGATGTGAGATCACATAAATGATTGTATATCGCATCTGAAGAGTTACCAACTGATATACAAGACATCAGTGAAAGATTTTTCATTAAACCACAAGCTAATCCCTCGGGTGTTTCTGCTGGACATATTAAACCCCAATGAGTATTGTGTAATTGACGAGGTCTAGATAATTTCCCCTCACGACTTATTGGTGTGTTACATCTTCTTAGATGTGACAACGTTGACACGTATGTGAATCGATTTAATACTTGTGAGACACCTGATTTTGACTATATATAAATCAAAAAAATTTATTCATTAATATTTCAAAATGATATAATTGTATTTTTGAGTAATATATATATTACCTGCATTGTTTTTGATTGCTGACCCCAATTACCAGTTCCAAGTGAATACTTTAAACCATTTGTGATTGTTTCGGTTCTTATACCCAAAGCTATATTAAACTCTTTATTAGGATTATTAAAAACCTATAAACACGCACACATAAATATAAATGGATGTTTATATTATTATTTTTTTTATACATTCATTTTATTTATAAATTAATCAAATAATGACCTTTTGAAGGTAATCATGTAAATCTTTGATTAATCGTTTAAACAAAGTTTTAAACAGTTGAGCTAATAATGGACCTGCCATGTCTAATCTTTTTTTACCCATATGATCTCTATCATCTGCCTCTCTTCTCCCCAGTGCACAATTTAACAATTTATTCGTCATATATCCTAGAAACCAGGATTTTCTAGAATTATCACTATAACGTGTTCCTACATGTGGTAAAACTTCATTGAGCAAAATATTTTTTGCGTAACTAATTTCAAAACAAAGAGCAAGAAAATAGATAGGTAAGTAAAGTAGGAATGAATGAATGAATGAATGAATGAATAAATAAATAAATGATATATTGATTTAATAAATTTATAATCAATGTTTATTGCATACTGTATACGCTCTTCCATGGTAAGTCCTATACGTGATCCTCTACGACCAATTAAATCTAATGCATGCTATGTATGTGCGCGCACACACGTATACATTTATTATATGTACGTACACACACATGTGATAATGATTTTTTTTAAAAAAAAACTATACTTACATCTTGATCTCGAAAACCTGAACCTTCTTCAAGACAATTAATAATAATTTCAGCCATCTCTTCATCATTTTCATCGTAGCAGATTTGTGAATATATCTCCTTTTCTTCAAAGGATCCAAGTGCACAAAATAAAACCTTTATAGGGATATCATTCTTTATAAATGGAATTGACACGTGAATGTGTTGACTTGGAGTCTAATTTTACAAATAAACAGCTAATAAACATATAATACATATCAAATAAAAATAGTGTTTATTTACAAAATCATTATAAATGTATAATTTACTTACATCACGAACAACAGATTTTGTTACCAAATTGAGTGATATAGTTCGTACTTTCTGGTACTTCTCGGAAACACTTCTAATCTCGGCTGAATATGTGTAAGTTGGCAGAGTAAGTTTTTTAAATACAAAAACTATATTGTTTGCAAGTCTTTCTTGAGCAATTATAACCTTTTCTGAACCATTTATAATAAAATATCCTCCCTAATATGAATTAATAGATAATGTGTTAGAAAAATTTATTTAACAATCAAATAAAATGTAGTTACAATTATGAAGATATTTAACCTGATCGTAAGGACATTCTTTTTTACTAATCAATTCTTCTTCACTCAAACTATACAAGGAACATGCTTGCGATTTAACCATTATAGGAATCTAAATTTTAAATAATAGCAACGATGTGTAAATTGTAAGATTCAATATTTTGATTAATTTGACGGTGAATACCTTTCCGATGAATACATTAGTCCAATCACCGACAGATTCTTCAACTTTTCTCTCATTTACACCACCATCAGTTTCTTGATCTTCAATACATTCAAACGTTTCCAATGTCTGTCTGAAAAAAAGATAAAATGGAGCAGTATAGCTAATTATAATTGAAACAGTAGTAGTTATTATCATCATCATTAATATGATTATGATTCCAAAAGAGAGAAAGAAAGGGAAGGTGTGATACTAACGTAATACTTCTAAGACGTGCCTCGTGTGGAAATAATGCGTGCATGCTTCCATCAGATTCGATGAAGCTCGGTTTAGTCAAACTTAAATTATTTAATTCAATACAAACACGTTTCTAAAAGAACCAAAAACAGCAAATAATGACTATTTTTAAAAAAATTCCTCCATATAATTCAATAATATTATTGCAAATAATATATATATATATACACCTTTATTACAATTCCATTATCATCAATAGATTTTTCTACTGTAATAGGAGGAGTTGCTTCAATT